ATGGTGCGTGGTAAATGCTTGGGTTGTTGAACACATTGCGCAGGATGACTTCTTGTTCAGCTGTCTGCGAGCCTGGCTCGAAAAGTCTGCAAATGGGTCCCAAAACATTGTATTTTCTTATTTATTGCTGGAAAAAATAATGATTCAACAAAAATAGAACATTTCACAATATTTAAAATAAGAGAATATTCTGCACATCAACAAAATTTAACATTTTTAGACTCTGTTATTGACACATTTTCAGCTCATTGTGAAATTAGTTGAAAATGCTGGCTGGAATGGGAAATTTGTCACTTCTCATCTTATGCTGAATTTCTTTGTAAGGGATCCATCAGTATATTTCGCATCTTTTTTATGACTGTTGAAAGTATTCAATCCCGCGCAGAAATGTGACAATCCTCATGCAGTATATATTGTGCAGAAGGATATTTCTGTATGACGAAGACGCCAAGTTTCCTTTGAGCTTTCATTGGTAAATGACACATCCACAATACACTTATCCGCAGTATGCGACAGCTCTCAAGTTTTCAAGTGACATGCTTCGGAAATGTATTCCGAACCAGAATTGTGGCACAAAAAGAATCCCAAATTGTGCTCAATTCTAGCCGCCAGAGTTAGAAGCGCATGAGAAAATTGTTTCATGCTGTCGTATAGTGCGGGATAATGATGCGGCCATGTATAGTTTCGTCAATTCACAGTTTAGTCAAGTTCGCTCTTTACTTTAACATTACTGAGCTTATAAACTCAGGTATGCAGGCTTTATTGCCATTATTGGTGTGAACTTATATCACCAGCAAATCACCGATGACTCACTGGTAAGTCCTCTGCAGAAGAGTGTGTCCGAACCGGAAGGCAGCTGTAGCAAACTCGTTGGTCACTGACGGATCAATGCTGGGGTCGTACTCCCTGGAAAATCCTTCTCTTTGCGGGAAAAGCCGGAAGTTGAACATGTACCTGGGTCCAAGAATGAGCGGAAGCCATTCGTTGTAGACGATGTGTTGCAACTCGGCCACCACGATTCTTCGGCTCTCCTGAAACAACCGTTCGTCGTCCCAATGCGGATTGAGAGCCTGCAACTCTCCGGCAACCCTGTTGTGCTCGCGGACCCACACAAGGTGGATGAGGGTCAGGCCGATTTGCTCATTCACTCGGTCGTCTCCTGCAATCGTTGGTTTTAGATTTGAACGCAATAATAAGCAACCCTTGCCGTTTAGAAACCTAATTTCTATAGGAGGCAAAGTTCGATTCATTCAACATTTTCTAAATACAGTAAGCTATATACAATATTCGTCTACGCCTGCCGGACTACGCGCAATTTATAAACCAAAGATGAAAAGTGAGCATTTTAATACAGGCTCGCCCAGTGAAACTTCAATTTAATCATGCTCGGTTTGGATTTTTCCGCATTTTACGGTTTTTACAAAGGCTAATTCGGACAATTGGACAACGAATTTTTCATTGCATCTATATAGAAAAAAGAATCTCTAACTTAATATGCTGCGAAGTTGGATTACGTCTCGAATATGAATTTCTGCCATTGCAAACCTTTGCTTTGAAAATATCATCGATATGGATTGTAGCGCAGTACAATAGAGGGACTTCGTGCTTCAGCGGAACGATTTCCCATAACATAAACACTCTGTTATTGCTTCATTCCGAAGATGATGAGTCAACGAACTCGCACATTCTTGAGTCACCCAGTTCTACACCTTCCCAGAACAGTTCCGATTGTTTTAGGACGATAAACGATAGAAACTATCCTGAGTAGGACTACTATTAAAAAAAGTTTGATGGCTGCCGAAAGCCGCGTCACGTAACTTGGAGTAGATCGAAGTTTGATTTAATATTAATATACGGTACTTCATAAGAGCTTGATTATTCTCACACTAACATGCTCCATAGACGTCTCCACACGTCCAAGGAAAAAGCAGGGGAATACGAAATCGGCACCTTTAAATGTACATCTCGGCAAAATATAACGTGGTAAAATTGCGCAGTGTATTCCAAAGCAGAAGTGCGTGCACAGTATATACAGTATAGCCAATACTGTACTGCATTTAACCTGCTTTGAAGCAGCGGATGCCAGCGGTTTTGTTGGTGCAATCGTCGCCTTCGTTGTCTGCCAGCGGGAGCATGGGGAGGTGATGGGAACCTGTGTTCAGGACCTGAAGTTGTCCGTTACGGAATAGACGTAAATTACGGGCTTCCTCTTCGTGCGAGCCGTATACGGCGGACCCGTCCAGGTAATGGGAGTTCACGTTCATCTGCATATTTTCAACGAGGAAGACAACACCAGTTGAATAATCTTTGCATGCGACGAAAATCGCGATTCCTGTTTGCATTCAGTACTGTGCTGTATATGCTTGAACGCAAAATACTAAGTGAGTGCACCAGCATTAAGTTCTTCGTCCGAGAAAAAATTGGAATTCGCTCAAAGCGAACTCTTCTATCGCGCCTCGGATTTCTGAAGATGAAGCGAAACTATCGTACAGTATATATGTACACAACAATCGGAATATATCCGATCGCTAATGCGTCTCGTTTGAATTCTCGAAGCGAGGAAGCACTATACGACGTAAAACGTGAGAACTATAATCTTCATCGAATAAACTCCCAGGAAATGCTAAGAGCCTCATCAGTGCCATCACCAGAGATACATCATAACCCGCGTCAACCGATGACTGGTGCTTCTTCCTACGGTACGTAATGCCGAGTAATGTATGCGAAAGAACACTTCCAGACGAAAGAGTGCCTTACATGTCGGTATTTTTGGGTTATCGCGTGGTATGCTAAATTTCAAAAGCCTTCAGCTGGGCTTTCAAAGTCCAAATTCTTACAGGTCCAAAATTAATGCACTGCACTGTATAGGGAAAAATGCGATGTGTCAGACCATGCAGTCAGTTAACACTAAATGCGTGTCCAATAGCGAAGTTATAGAGGGAAATCAGCGCAGAAATGCTTTCAGAAAACGGTTGAATGAGCACGAGACATAGTTCATTTGTTAATATCCTTCTATACTTGAACTTTTTTATACTTGGAGTTTTTGTACTGGATCGAGCATATATGCAGTGAGCGAACAGCACTGCAGCAATGCTGTATACTGTACTAGCCTGCAGAAAGTTGAAAATTCTTATGTGAGGGTCAGATTTATTTCCGGAAGTGTTACCACTATGTTGCGAAAGTCGCTCGTCAACGTTCGAATGTTCGTAGGAAACACACGGGATTCTTCATGTTCTACGGTAAGTGCGTGATCGACGAGATATATCCTGCTGGACACGTTTACAGTATACACCCTTTGTGTTACGAGTTACGACTAAATATGCCTATCGTCCTCCGCTATTCGAAATTTTTCATGCTGTGTTTTTCTTTCTCAAAATTAATTTATCCTTTCGATTATCTGCGAGCGAGTAAGGGTAGAGTACAGTACATATATCTTCCAGAGTTGATGAACCCTTACCTGCTCTGCCCATCCTAGGGTGCAACCCGGCCTCGGAGCGGGAATAGCTCGAACGAACTCCATGCACTTCTGCCGGTATCTCGCGTAGAACCGATCTTCGTTTGGGATCTCGATCGGCATACATGAAGGGTGTGGAGCCGGAATGATCGGTTGGCCATTTCTACAGCACATGATACCCGTATTCTCCGCTGGATCTGTTGTACACAATAATGCCCGCTGATTTGCTCAATATTATATTCCAACAAATAAATTCCCTTGTATCATGCTTACAGACGAATGACGTTTCATCTATACATGTGCAGATATGAATGAATCGTTACCGAGTTTGAAGACCCCAGCATGAGTGATATCGTGGTCCAGAAATTTATCACCAGCAAATCACCGATGACTCACTGGTAAGTCCTCTGCAGAAGAGTGTGTCCGAACCGGAAGGCAGCTGTAGCAAACTCGTTGGTCACTGACGGATCAATGCTGGGGTCGTACTCCCTGGAAAATCCTTCTCTTTGCGGGAAAAGCCGGAAGTTGAACATGTACCTGGGTCCAAGAATGAGCGGAAGCCATTCGTTGTAGACGATGTGTTGCAACTCGGCCACCACGATTCTTCGGCTCTCCTGAAACAACCGTTCGTCGTCCCAATGCGGATTGAGAGCCTGCAACTCTCCGGCAACCCTGTTGTGCTCGCGGACCCACACAAGGTGGATGAGGGTCAGGCCGATTTGCTCATTCACTCGGTCGTCTCCTGCAATCGTTGGTTTTAGATTTGAACGCAATAATAAGCAACCCTTGCCGTTTAGAAACCTAATTTCTATAGGAGGCAAAGTTCGATTCATTCAACATTTTCTAAATAAGCTATATACAATATTCGTCTACGCCTGCCGGACTACGCGCAATTTATAAACCAAAGATGAAAAGTGAGCATTTGAATACAGGCTCGCCCAGTGAAACTTCAATTTAATCATGCTCGGTTTGGATTTTTCCGCATTTTACGGTTTTTACAAAGGCTAATTCGGACAATTGGACAACGAATTTTTCATTGCATCTATATAGAAAAAAGAATCTCTAACTTAATATGCTGCGAAGTTGGATTACGTCTCGAATATGAATTTCTGCCATTGCAAACCTTTGCTTTGAAAATATCATCGATATGGATTGTAGCGCAGTACAATAGAGGGACTTCGTGCTTCAGCGGAACGATTTCCCATAACATGAACACTCTGTTATTGCTTCATTCCGAAGATGATGAGTCACGGAACTCGCACATTCTTGAGTCACCCAGTTCTACACCTTCCCAGAACAGTTCCGATTGTTTTAGGACGATAAACGATAGAAACTATCCTGAGTAGGACTACTATTAAAAAAAGTTTGATGGCTGCCGAAAGCCGCGTCACGTAACTTGGAGTAGATCGAAGTTTGATTTAATATTAATATACGGTACTTCATAAGAGCTTGATTATTCTCACACTAACATGCTCCATAGACGTCTCCACACGTCCAAGGAAAAAGCAGGGGAATACGAAATCGGCACCTTTAAATGTACATCTCGGCAAAATATAACGTGGTAAAATTGCGCAGTGTATTCCAAAGCAGAAGTGCGTGCACAGTATATACAGTATAGCCAATACTGTACTGCATTTAACCTGCTTTGAAGCAGCGGATGCCAGCGGTTTTGTTGGTGCAATCGTCGCCTTCGTTGTCTGCCAGCGGGAGCATGGGGAGGTGATGGGAACCTGTGTTCAGGACCTGAAGTTGTCCGTTACGGAATAGACGTAAATTACGGGCTTCCTCTTCGTGCGAGCCGTATACGGCGGACCCGTCCAGGTAATGGGAGTTCACGTTCATCTGCATATTTTCAACGAGGAAGACAACGTACACCAGTTGAATAATCTTTGCATGCGACGAAAATCGCGATTCCTGTTTGCATTCAGTACTGTGCTGTATATGCTTGAACGCAAAATACTAAGTGAGTGCACCAGCATTAAGTTCTTCGTCCGAGAAAAAATTGGAATTCGCTCAAAGCGAACTCTTCTATCGCGCCTCGGATTTCTGAAAATGAAGCGAAACTATCGTACAGTATATATGTACACAACAATCGGAATATATCCGATCGCTAATGCGTCTCGTTTGAATTCTCGAAGCGAGGAAGCACTATACGACGTAAAACGTGAGAACTATAATCTTCATCGAATAAACTCCCAGGAAATGCTAAGAGCCTCATCAGTGCCATCACCAGAGATACATCATAACCCGCGTCAACGGATGACTGGTGCTTCTTCCTACGGTACGTAATGCCGAGTAATGTATGCGAAAGAACACTTCCAGACGAAAGAGTGCCTTACATGTCGGCATTTTTGGGTTATCGCGTGGTATGCTAAATTTCAAAAGCCTTCAGCTGGGCTTTCAAAGTCCAAATTCTTACAGGTCCAAAATTAATGCACTGCACTGTAAAGGGAAAAATGCGATGTGTCAGACGATGCAGTCAGTTAACACTAAATGCGTGTCCAATAGCGAAGTTATAGAGGGAAATCAGCGCAGAAATGCTTTCAGAAAACGGTTGAATGAGCACGAGACATAGTTCATTTGTTAATATCCTTCTATATTTAAACTTTTTTATACTCGGAGTTTTTGTACTCGATCGAGCATATATGCAGTGAACGAACAGCACTGCAGCAATGCTGTATACTGTACTAGCCTGCAGAAAGTTGAAAATTCTTATGTAAGGGTCAGATTTATTTCCGGAAGTGTTACCACTATGTTGCGAAACCCGCTCGTCAACGTTCGAATGTTCGTAGGAAACACACGGGATTCTTCATGTTCTACGGTAAGTGCGTGATCGACGAGATACTGTATATCCTGCTGGACACGTTTACAGTATACACCCTTTGTGTTACGAGTTACGACTAAATATGCCTATCGTCCTCCGCTATGCGAAATTGTTCGTGCTGTGTTTTCTTTTCTCAAAATTAATTTATCCTTTCGATTATCTGCGAGCGAGTAAGGGTAGAGTACAGTACATATCTTCCAGAGTTGATGAACCCTTACCTGCTCTGCCCACCCTAGGGTGCAACCCGGCCTCGGAGCTGGAATAGCTCGAACGAACTCCATGCACTTCTGCCGGTATCTCGCGTAGAACCGATCTTGGTTTGGGATCTCGATCGGCATACATGAAGGGTGTGGAGCTGGAACGATCGGTTGGCCATTTCTGCAGCACATGATACCCGTATTCTCCGCTGGATCTGTTGTACACAATAATGCCTGCTGATTTGCTCAATATTATGCTCCAACAAATAAATTCCCTTGTATCATGCTTACAGACGAATGACGTTTCATCTATACATGTGCAGATATGAATGAATCGTTACCGAGTTTGAAGACCCCAGCATGAGTGATATCGTGGTCCAGAAATTGTCCGAACTGTGTGACGAACTGGGTGAAGAAGTGATCTGGCTTATCAGCGTCGAAGATCGTGGAAGCGCTGACGAGTCTGGCTGACTTGAGCGGCTGTCCGCTCGCAGATAGTTTCCTCGGCTCCCAGATCCCTAGCCCGAAAAAGATAATATATGTATCCATATTCCATATGCACATTTTTCTGAAGAATACTGCATACTGCATGTATGCAGTCTTTATATGATGTATTTTGAGCGATCATGATTTAAAATTTATTTTTTATTCGATATTGAAGCGAATATGTTCATTTTTGCGTGATCTATTCCTGTCTTGATATGAGAGGAACCAAAACATCTCAATTGTCGCGGCGAGTCAGTTATATTTTGTGTCATGAAATAAACTGGGTAAAATATGATGCATCGGCAGAGAATGGGCATTCAAAAGAGATCATCTAATCGCCATTACAAACTTGCTATTGTTTACTTATCCAGCATTTCTTGAAAGCACCGTTTATACTTACCATCATGGTAAGTTGGTGGCAGGAGTCTTTGCATCGGAGTGTTAGATTTGCCCCACGAAGGTTTATCCAAATTGTTGCAACTTCCGTCGGTTGTTCTGTAGGTCAATGATTTTCTATCGCATTTTGGAGGTGGTGGACAGAAGTCAGAAAGGTCAGTGCCTTCCAGAGTGAATCTTTGGAGCCCGAATCCAGCCTCCAATGGCCCCAAGCCGAAACTAAACAATATATTGAAACTTCGTTTCGGAATAGCTTTGTTATAATTCAGAAACAACGGTATTTCAGGCGTAGAACAATTTTTCTTGCGCAGTAATATTCACATGCTTACCGCGAAGTTTTATTTCTAAAAATATGGTTCTGATACTCCCGCATGACAATGAAATATCGCGACGTCCAGTCAAGAAAAAAAAAAAAACGGATTACGTAGGATTTCCCCCGGGTTTCCGTATGAGTTTAATTCATCGTATCTGATTCATCTATATTCTGCCGTAGCATTCCTGTATACAAACCTGTTCGCAATCTGTCGCGTGGCCTCGATGCCACCAAGTGCCAATCGAGCCAGTTCATGGGACTCAGGGCTGACTTGGAAGAATTGCTGATGATAAAAAGCTGGAGTGCCTTTGGGTAAGTAATCGCCATTCTCTTTCAAACGTTTTTCAATCTCCAAAATGGTTTGCAAGGAATCTCTTGTTGATGTGACTGCAGTGTTGATGTCGGAACGGCTGAACTGCCTGGTCTCGATGCCCTGCAAACTCGGGTTGACATCGAAAACTTTTCCTTCCGTCGGTCTTGGCGGCGGCCTCACTGGGAATGAGTGGAAAACAAAAATTAATGGCATATACTGTATATCAAACGCGATGAATAGTATAAAGTAATCCGTGGTATCCCCGTAGAATGTATTGTGTCCATCCTTGTGGGAAATTGGTTCAGTTGTGGTGGTGTCACTGGTAGTAATAGTAAGAAGATATTCTACAGGTACTGTACTCGTAATTTTGCTTGTACAGTACACGAAGGCGTCCGAAATTTTCTCTCAAAGGTTCCTCATTCTAATCTGAGGATGCCTGAGCATTGATGTAAGAGCAGAAAAAACGTGGATTAGGTACTTTGAGTTCTAGTTGAATCCAAAATTTAAAAACTGTTTAGAATTTCTCCTGCTTCTGTCGTATCTAGATTTGAAGCAATTCTGATGCTTTCATTCTATACATGTACGTTCTCGTCATCACAATAACCTTTGATCAGGATGATATTTTTTAATCCACGCGGTTATAGTTGGTATGCCACGAATTTTATAACTTCCAAATCCATTTTCAAATGGGAATTCTCTTTACAAAGATCAAGTGCTGGTCATCATTCAATTGGTCAACATTCAATTGGTCAAATGAAGAATATTATACAGGTGTACTCTCTCTGCAACAATCTTGTCTACGACGAATTTCTCTGCACATCAAATTTTTTGGCGTCCCATAGAATTTTCTCCCTATGTAATAGAGATTCTCTACAATTAAATTATCTCTAAAATGATTTTTTCTGGCCCCTTGAGAATCGCTGCGGAGAGAGTCCATCATCTTCAATAGGAATGAGTTTCTGTAAAATGCCGAGATATGGAAAACATGTCAGGTTACGTGAGCAAATTCTTAGTTTGTATAATTCATGTACTGTATATAGTTAGGCATGAATAATGTGGAAGATTTTTTGCAAAGAGTTCACCTGTGGTTTTTCAATTCACATTTTATTTTTCCAGTTTTTTATTTGGTATTTATTAGCGAAATTATGCACAGTACTGTATATAGTACTTTCGTCTCAATTAAGCCTGTTCTTTGTTTTTATTCGAATACGCGCCGGTAGTACAAAATATCTCGATTTTTTACCCGAGTTTTGGGGGAAAAAGTTACCCGCCCGTGACTTATTGGACGGAAAAGACCAATTTTGTGTGCGGAAATAAATTTGTGAAGGCGAGAAAGTTCTGTATTTTCGCACACCTCGTTTCTATAAAACCTCCTGGCTTGGAAATGCTTCATATCCCTGTTGAATCGTGGTGTAATCTTGGTTACGCAACTTCCCGGGAGTTTAGTATCGAATCAAGTCGCAAATACAGTATCTTCAGCAGCATTTGCTTCCCACATTCGTTTCGCTCTCTGGAATTAATTTGAATTGTACAGACATTTTGCAGCGTGGATGCTGTTTATATCAATTCTCCCGATTTCCTTCGAATTCGATTTTATATCAATATCTTGGGGAGATATCCATTTTTAATTTCCTGTAAGTGATATGTCTGATAACTATACAGTATATGCAACCCGGCGATTCCACTCTGACCTAAAATGCTTCTTTCTTCGGAAATCATATAGAGTTATAGACCACAGGTACTCACTTTCATGAGCGATAATTCAGGGATGTTACAGCATTATTCGTAAATATGTATAATGATTTATAAAAGTTCGCTCCGGTGCTTGATGTTGTGAATAAAAATATTGTATACAATCTCAAGGGTTATTTCATTCACATTTCTGTTAAATTCCATGGATAATGGATTGTACTGGAATATTTTTCAATGTTCCTAGAAATAGATCAGCGAAAAGAGCGCAAAAAAATACTGTACTTTCAACTTTTGTCCGTTTGTTCCGGAACAGGAAGAAATTTAATTTATATTAACTTTCATTCATTTATTCATTCATTAAGCACTTTTTCTGGCAAAAGTGAGTTGGCACTAAATTGGAGTTTATCTTAAGAACACCATTGAGGGAGATGTATTCCACAGAAATTCGTTGCACTATGCCGGGGTTGGCACTAAATCAAGGCTTTACCCGTACAAGGTGTTAGTTATTATTCGCCTGTTGGGCATTTGTTGCTCAAGACCCCACTGCTAATCTCAAATTATTACTCACAGGCAGCAGCAGCTGATCCAACGGGACAGCAGACTCCTATCGTCCCATCCGCCAAATTGCAAGATTCTCTGCTGATGGAGGTTCTGGCTGCGATTTGCTCGAAAAATTCCACACAAAGCACATTAGGGACGCAGACGCCGGAACTTCCGGTGAAATCTGTGCATCCATCCGAGGTCGGAGGAAGCCCATCCTGCTTGCCATTTTGCTGGGGAAATTGTTGTGGGGCGAAAGTGGAGCCAAGACCAGCACCAGGAGGTTTCTTGGGCGGAAACGACCCGTAAGGGTTCGACGAAGTGCCTTGTTGTTGGTAAATAGGTCGTGGCTTATTATTATTATTATTATTATTTCCACTGACGAACGTCGAGCCCGAGGATCCGCCGGGAAAAATTATTTGTCCCACGACAACCTTGCTGTAACTACAGCAGATGATCAGAAGGTATTGGAACACTATTCTCATACTGAGCTTGAGAATCATTGCACTGTATATATGCTCGACAGTGTTTAAATATAGGATAAGTTCTTCTTTATTGTTGGTTTCTAGCTGTGGAAGAAGTGACGCGAACGCGCGGCGCGTTGCAATGATGCACTGTCTGAAGTATTCATGCTGGGTACTTATTATCAGGGCTACGTTAGCATGGTGCGTATATATACTAGCTGTATATGGGGATTATCTGTCTTTTCCTTTGCTTCCTGTTGACTGCATATAGATGCTAAGGAAGAACGCGTAAAAGTTGTTGTGCTGGGATTACCCGAGACCGTATTTCTGTGAAGATGTGGAGCATAGTATGGAGACGTTGGAAAATGCTGGNATTCTACAGGTACTGTACTCGTAATTTTGCTTGTACAGTACACGAAGGCGTCCGAAATTTTCTCTCAAAGGTTCCTCATTCTAATCTGAGGATGCCTGAGCATTGATGTAAGAGCAGAAAAAACGTGGATTAGGTACTTTGAGTTCTAGTTGAATCCAAAATTTAAAAACTGTTTAGAATTTCTCCTGCTTCTGTCGTATCTAGATTTGAAGCAATTCTGATGCTTTCATTCTACATGTACGTTCTCGTCATCACAATAACCTTTGATCAGGATGATATTTTTTAATCCACGCGGTTATAGTTGGTATGCCACGAATTTTATAACTTCCAAATCCATTTTCAAATGGGAATTCTCTTTACAAAGATCAAGTGCTGGTCATCATTCAATTGGTCAACATTCAATTGGTCAAATGAAGAATATTATACAGGTGTACTCTCTCTGCAACAATCTTGTCTACAACGAATTTCTCTGCATATCAAATTTTTTGTCGTCCCATAGAATGTTCTCCCTATGTAATAGAGATTCTCTACAATGAAATTATCTCTGAAATGAATTTTTCTGGCCCCTTGAGAATCGCTGCGGAGAGAGTCCATCATCTTCAATAGGAATGAGTTTCTGTAATATGCCGAGATATGGAAAACATGTCAGGTTACGTGAGCAAATTCTTAGTTTGTATAATTCATGTACTGTATATAGTCAGGCATGAATATTGTGGCAGATTCTTTGCAAAGAGCTCACCTGTGGTTTTTCATTTCACATTTTATTTTTCCGGTTTTTTAGTTGGTATTTAGTAGCGAAATTATGCACAGTACTGTACTGTATAGTACTTTCGTCTCAATTAAGCCTGTTCTCGGTTTTTATTCGAATACGCGCCGGTAGTACAAAATAATTCGATTTTTTACCCGAGTTTTGGGGGGAAAAGTTACCCGCCCGTGACTTATTGGACGGAAAAGACCAATTTTGTGTGCGGAAATAAATTTGTGAAGGCGAGAAAGTTCTGTATTTTCGCACACCTCGTTTCTATAAAACCTCCTGGCTTGGAAATGCTTCATATCCCTGTTGAATTGTGGTGTAATCTTGATTACGCAATTTCCCGGGAGTTTAGTATTGAATCAAGTCGCAAATACAGCAGTATCTTCAGCAGTATTTGCTTCCCTCATTCGTTTCGCTCTCTGGAATTAATTTGAATTGTACAGACATTTTGCAGCGTGGATGCTGTTTATATCAATTCTCCCGATTTCCTTCGAATTCGATTTCATATCTATATCTTGGGGAGATATCCATTTTTAATTTCCTGTAAGTGATATGTCTGATAACTATGCAGTATATGCAACCCGGCGATTCCACTCTGAACTAAAATGCTTCTTTCTTCGGAAATCATTTGGAGTTATAGACCACAGGTACTCACTTTTATGAGCGACAATTCAGGGATGTTCCAGCATTATTCGTAAATACATATAATGCTTTATAAAAGTTGGCTCCGGTGCTTAATGTTGTGAATAAAAATATTGTATAAAATCTCAAGGGTTATTTCATTCACATTTCTGTTGAATTCCATGGATAATGGATTGTACTGGAATATTTTTCAATGTTCCTAGAAATAGATCAGCGAAAAGAGCGCGAAAAAATACTGTACTTTCAACTTTTGTCCGTTTGTTCCGGAACAGGAAGAAATTTAATTTATATTCATGCGAAGCAGTGCAGCACTTTTTCTGGCACTAAGTGAGTTGGCACTAAATTGGAGTTTCTCTTAAGAACACAATTGAGGGAGATTTATTCCGCAGAAATTCGTGGCACTATGCTGGGGTAGTGGCACTAAATCAAGGCTTTACCCGGTGTTAGTTATTATTCGCCTGTTGGGCATTTGTTGCACAAGGCCCCACTGCTAATCTCAAATTATTACTCACAGGCAGCAGCAGCTGATCCAACGGGACAGCAGACTCCTATCGTCCCATCCGCCAAATTGCAAGATTCTCTGCTGATGGAGGTTCTGGCTGCGATTTGCTCGAAAAATTCCACACAAAGCACATTAGGGACGCAGACACCGGAACTTCCGGTGAAATCCGTGCATCCATCCGAGGTCGGAGGAAGCCCATCCGGCTTGCCATTTTGCTGGGGAAATTTTTGTGGGGCGAAACTGGAGCCAAGACCAGCACCCGGAGGTTTCTTGGGCGGAAACGACCCGTAAGGGTTCGACGAAGTGCCTTGTTGTTGGTAAACAGGTCGTGGCTTATTATTATTATTATTTCCACTGACGAACGTCGAGCCCGAGGATCCGCCGGGAAAAATTATTTGTCCCACGACAACCTTGCTGTAACTACTGCAGATGATCAGAAGGTATTGGAACACTATTCTCATACTGAGTTTGAGAATCATTGCACTGTATATACAGTTTGCTCGACAGTGTTTAAATATAGGATAAGTTCTTCCTTATTGTTGGTTTCTAGCTGTGGAAGAAGTGACGCGAACGCGCGGCGCGTTGCAATGAAGCACTGTCATGACCATTCGTCGTGCTGGGTACTTTTTATCAGGGCTACGTTAGCATGGTGCGTATATATACTGTATATGGGGATTATCTGTCTTTTGCTTTGCTTCCTGTTGACTGCATATAGATGCTAAGGAAGAACGCGTAAAAGTTGTTGTGCTGGGATTACCCGAGACCGTATTTCTGTGAAGATGTGGAGCATAGTATGGAGACGTTGGAAAATGCTGGGATTCCCCGCAGGGTACAGTACGGTATTTATTCTGGGATTCTTATCGAGTCGAGCTAGTTTTGCTGTTAATTATTTGAACAGGAATTAAGCCTGTACGAAAATCGTCCGACATTTGTTGAATAATTATTCAGTTTTTTTATAAGTATGTTTTTGGTCCTGAATTTTTCTGCGTCTGATCCAAAATTTGTCCGCGTTCAATGGAAAATACGAAAAAAATGACAACTTCGATTTTGCTTGTATGAAGAAGCGACACCTATGAATAGCAGACTGAACACGACGAATAATGTTGATTCACTGCGTCGCTCCTGGATGTCGGACTTTTTTTTATCATGAAGGTGCCCAAGGAAAACCATCAATCATCAGCATATACTGTATATAGAAATAAGAATGTTGATATATGCTCAAAATGTTCATGCAAGAATAAAAAATTGTAGAAAGAGTATTGTAATGCTGTAAAATAATCAAAGGTTCACCTCGCGATCTGTTTAGTTTGAAGTATTTCTCAACAACGGTATTTTCTCTTTTGTGATTGCATCAACAGAAATTTTGATCAGAATTTGTTTACAATGCATGTTATTTTTGCTCCAAAAACTATATTCATATATTTTTATGGGTGCATTGGATCCCATACCGTACTACCGTATTTAGATTGTCTGATGTGTTCAGGTCTATAAAATCAGCATCCCCAAGTATATTCACAGGAGAAAATTCAAATACAGTAACACTATAGCTGAAAAGTGTTGATTTACACTAAGCTTCTAATCTTTCGTAAAATATGGACTCTCTCACACTCTTTAATATGATGAGCAATTTAAAAATTTGCATTGCTACAGTCATACAATATTGGCACCATATAAAAGTATTCTTGATTACGAGCAGCAGCGCTAAACTTCACATCGTCCGCATATTGTTGAATAATAGCTTCATAATACAGTGCAGTAATTTTGCATAATTCTCAAACGGTTCCTTCGGGATTGATCTAGATACGAGAACAAATCCAAATAATTCTCTGGATCCCATAAATGATGAGGTGCTGGGAATCAAAAAGTTGCGCAGACCAATCACCATAAAAGCCTCACGGGGGCAAGAATCTAAATGTGCCCCGGATTCAGTGGATAAAACTAATTTTCTCTTCGGCACATGCACTTCTTAATATATTTTAAGGAATACATAATGATGACCCTTCTCTTTCATTCTTGAATTCCGATCGCATTGTCGGCGACCGACCATGAATTGTGAAGTAGCAGGAAGAAAAATTCTCTGGCAGTTAATACTGTATATACAAGTCGGGGGTCATTTGGCCTCATATATAGAAACAGCAGAGCTCTCAACGCTGCTGCCATAAAATGCCGGAAGGCTCTGTGAGTTGAGGCACTCCATCATGATGGTGCTTCTTCTGGACAAGCCCTCCCATTAGTGCCATTGGTGTAGGTTCAATAAAAATCGCTTGGCTCAACATTTTCAGCGTTAAAGGGAGCCCTGGGTTTCCGAAACAATTTTTTATCATCTCGCAGCAGTTTGCTCACAATTAAAACAAGGTGGGGTTCATTTCTGTCTCTTTAGAATTCGATGGGCGGGAGTAGAATTTTTCGTGGCATCGAAAGTCGGTCAATCCTGCGTCGAGGCTTCCGAATAATTTTCCGTTATAAGGGTGAATAAATCCTGTTACAGCAAACTGTGAGGTACTTTTAAAAATTGGGATTGTTCTGAAGTTACGAATTAAATTCTCCTTATCTAATACTGTACCGTATTTTTCTGGCCTCATTATGATTCATAATTAGGATGCTTTCCTCGCAGAATATTTAAGAAATCCTCACCCTACAATAAATAACGTTCCCCCATTAGAAAAACCGCCAGATTCTCTTATCCAAAAATTGAAAACCTGTCATTTTTTTCCTTCGAGTAACATTTTTTTAAACCGCTGTGATCATCTCAATACAATCTCAATAATGATTGAGGCGTGTTGCCTTTTAATTTATGAACAAATTCGGAGCAAAAATAAATTTATTCCTCAAGTAAAGATTTAAAAAGCATTCCTGTTTTTTTCAGCACTGAGAAAATGAAGCAACAATCTATCCAAAACTTCTAGAGAACCCTGTCCCATCTCGCTCAAAAGAAAAGTCAACAGACCAGTCCATAAATTCAGCATCAGCATAGTCCCCCATCTTTCTTTTCATATCTTGATATTATATATACATACAGGAAACAAGAGACGTCGATTTCTAGCAGAATATCAACAACGCAAGAAAGAAAAAAAAGCATTAGAAGCAATGGTGGTGTTGCACCAGTATAGTTCACTGTATTCAGAGAGAGCAGAGTTCCAACGGAAAAAGAGCTCATCTCCGAAGATAAGGAAACATCACGATCCCAATTATGTCCAAATGACTCCAGACACAAGATATTCCCCCGCAGATCTCATCCAGATTTCTGCCAACTTTCGCAGAACGAGGGATTAACTATTTCCTTGTCTCGCTGCTCCGCAATTCATTGTTTTTTTTGTTTTTTGTTTTTTTACTTTTTTCCTTGTGGACGAAATTACGTCTCGACTACAGGGAATAATTAAACGCCAACCATCAGGTTATAATTGGATTATATATTCATTTTTTCTTATTGCCCACAAATGACGATTATCGGACTCGAGAACAATTCTGAGACGAGCTCAGGTTTTTATTTAATATTATTATTATTATTATTGGACCATGCAGTCGATTGCCTGCATTTTGATGAAGTGTAGTTTTTTGGATGCCCATAAATCTGATTCATCCATCTGATGGAATATTAAAAGAGGTACTGTAATGTGTTTTAATTCAAGAAAACAATTTTTTGGCTCATTAAAACGAGGAAAAGATTTATCTATTTATTTATTTATCTCTTGGTCCTGGGTCGAACTTTTCATCAACTGGAGGTTTATAAAGATATTTTGAGAAAAAGTGCTTACATATCTCAACAGGTGAAACCCAGTGATTTTCGCCTAGGATTTTTCCTCTGCGGTTGTCTGACAGTAAAGAAACGCGTCAATTATCACGCGGAAAATCCAAGAATTCCTTGTTCCAATTCTCAGCGAGGGAAACGAGATTCCAAAAGTAGTTTCGAGAATTTGCGAATTTAATTGCTCCAATAACGACGCTTGAGCAGGGCCGTACTTACTTTCAGGTTACTCCAACCGCAATTATGAAGTAGGTATCGAAGGTTTCTTTTATCAAGAATACATTCCGAGGGTTATTCAGAAAGTTTCTAATTTTGAGACCGTATTAACGAGATTATACAAGATTCTGATTTTGAGTACAGTAGCTTTCTCAGATACACAAAAAAATATGTAGGTATAACTTTGTACGAAAAAGTTCAGAACACAAAATGCCGAATCTCATAATAATTCAAGAAATTGCAGGAAACCAAAAAAAAAAAAAAAAAAAAAACCAAAAGCAAATTATTATTTTTCTCATAATAATTCAAGAAATTGCAAGAAAACAAAAAAAAAAAAAAAAAAAAACCAGATGCAAATTATTATTTCATTGACTGCTCTCCTCAAGGGATCAGACATCTTACTGTAGGTATAAAACATCTCTGAATAAGGAATAGTTTCAATAATTAGATCGAAAAATAATTTTCATACATTAAACCACCCAAATTAAACCAAATTTCCTGACTCAAAGACTCTTACACAGTACATGATTTTTTGGGAGTCCCTCAGCAAAGTTCAACTGCATTTGAAGCTTGACCAATAATTACTAGGTCATGGGTGAATATGGACGTCGTTTAAAAAAAAAATTGCTCTTCTCTAAGATTCATGTGCTACCAAGACCCTAAGTCAATGCTTCATTCAAAGAAATCTCTGAAAGAAAATAAGAAGAGAGAGAGAGAGAGAGACACACACACATACACATGAAAACATCCTGAGGTGGATTTCATCTCTATAAGGGACGCCACCGATGATAAAAGGCGGACGAGGTCGCCGCAGACGAGAAATGTTATTTTCCACGCGTGCTCGCCAGGAATGTTAATTCCGCCGCCGGTTGCTATTTGGCAGCCATGAAGCAGCCCTGCGCCGCAATTCCGGGTTTCTCGAATATAAATTCCTGAGGGGCGGGGGAATGACTTTATTGCGCTGATTGCTTCATGAGTAGGCTGTTGTTTCGGTCACGAAGATCGCTCCGTTGAGGGATGGACGATTGCCGCAAGGAAGGTTTTCTTCTCTTTTTTTTTTTTTTACATATGATATAAATTTTTTTATTAGTAAACAATAAATGTTTTTTCTCATTGATACTATTTTTTTCTAGTCCATGGGATGAAGAAGCCCGAGTGCGCGACGGTCTTTCAATCGCCTTTTTTAATATTTGTTGGTGAGTCTCGATGAGGAGATGAAATCAAGTGTTTCCTTTAGATAAAGGTTCTTTATGATGAGAAAGATTGAGTCTCTTCTGGAAACAATCACCTCCTTTAAAATAATAGGGATATATCTTTCATAATTTCCAAAGAGTTGAATGACAAGCAAAATTAGCTTCTCATTTCGCAGGAAAACCTTTCAACTTCCATCTTAAAACAAAAAGCTATTTTAAATCCTTGCAGCTGGGATTGTTTCTTTATGTTTCAACATTAATACTCAGGCTTGCTTTGAAATAAATACAGGCGGTACCTTGCAATTTG